CAACCTCAGTAACATCATTTACTAGTTAAACAACATGAATCAAAACTGAAAAGATGCAAACCCTAGCTAAACTTGCCCACTACTCCATCAAAACTAAACAAGTAACCATAGCAAACCAAGAATATAAGCTTCTATCCCAAATTTAACAAGATTAAGCAAGAGAAAAGGAATGTCAAGCTTTATACCTTCCAAAAGCTGCTTGCAAGTGAAAAACAAACCACTCTCTTCCAAAAAGTTCACCACACCAAGCTTTCCAAACACCAAAAGATAAGTTTAACCGATTTAGTTTTTGAGATTTCAACTCAACAAGGAAGAATCAAGGTTATAGTTAAAATTGTTTTTCTCTCTTTTTCCCTCTCTTAGTTTAGGCCAACATGAAGCAAAAATAAAGGAAATTGAGACAAAAATAAAGATAAGAAGGTAGGAAATTTGTTTAGTCAAAATTTACTAAATTTCCAACAAGTGTAACACTTTGATTTGAGGACAATTTTTTTCTATCTTGTTTTTTAGTCCAAAATTTCGGCTGGTATAAGGAGATATTTAGGGCTGATTTTTCTCAATTAATAACAAGGAGATTAAGGTAATAAAGTAGTGTTCAAGTGGTGTACTCAAACGGTAGCAAACGGTGCATGTCGATTCAAGTAAGGAGATATTTAGGGCTGATTTTGCTCAATTAATAACAAGGAGATTGTGATACCCCAACTTTTAGGATCACCTTTTGTTTAGTCTCAGAAAGGATATTACGGTTTCTTTAGTTTATTTTTATTTTAAAACATTATTTTTGTTTTAAAGAAGAAACTAAAGTTATTTCTTTGGGTTTGATTTAAAACCTTGTTTTGTTTTAAAAGACTAGAAACCCTAGTTTCATTTGTGATTGACCGTTTTCTCAAATTTCTCATATTTCAACCGAAACCCTAAATTCAACTTGTGGAATTGTTAAACCCTCACGTTTTTCTTAAAAATGCCCTTTTATTTGGAAATTATTAATTTATAATAGCCCTACCACCCAATCATTCCACAATAAGTGCAAATGAACCTAGAAAGTAGGGTTTCACTTTTCGTTTTCAAGTTGGAGCAAGTTAGGATTTTCACATTTTTCCGTAGTATGATTATTCGGTACGGAGTGAGGATCAAAATTGGTAGGTAAGAGTGAATTTTGGATGAGAAAATATTATATGATTAGAAGTGATAATAATAAGTTAGTGAATTAGAAGTTAAAACCTTAGAATACGCGATTTAAGGAAAATCCGCTCGAACTGACGGGTATCGATCGTTATCGATTGAGTGCACCACTTGACCACTATTTTATTACCTTAATTTCCTTATTATTAATTGAGTAAAATCAGCCCAAAATATCCTCTCATTCCAGCCGAAATTGTGGACCAAATTAAGAGAGAGAAAAGCAAATTTTGAGATTTCATCTTGAGGCAACAAGTGGCGAACATCCAACAGTTGTTTGACCAAACTAATTCCAACCTTTTTATCCTTTCTTGAGCTTCATTTCTTCCTCATTTTTGCCTTTTCTGGTCGTGAGTTTGAGGGAGAAAGAGTGAAGAGAGTTTCTAATTCCAACCTCAAATCAAGAGTTGTGAGTGAAACCAAGCGAAACTAAACCGATTAAAACCTTCCTTTAGTGTTTAGCTAGTGGTGTGTTGGTGAAATTTTGGAAGGAAAAGCTAGGGCTGCTCTTGGTAGTCACTTTAACAAGGTAATAATGCTGATTTCCCCATTTCTTACTCTTAAACTTGTTTAATTTAGCATAGCACCTTAAATTTGTGGTGGATGATACATATTATAATGATTTGGACAGATATAGTGTATGTTCTTGAGTTACATGAGTTAGGATTTGATGCGTTTCTGCCTATACTTGTTGTATGGATAGTATATGTTGTATCTAAGCTTATATAAGGGGTTTTGGTGGTGATTGAAGCAAGAAATGAAGAAAGTTTCCTTTGAAACAGTAAAATTCCAGATTTCTGGAAATCTTAGCTTCAGTTCTGTCCGGTTCTATTTCATCATGTTAGATGCCGAACTAGGCTTAGTACAAACATAAAAGTTGTAGAGAATGGTATTTTATGGTTGGCTACAAAATTTCAGTCCAATTGGAGCAATGTAACCTGTAAAACGACCAAAATACCCTTACTGCCCTAGGATGCATCCAGTGATCCGTTTTAGACAGTTCATCCAATTGACCGTGTCTATTCACTATGATTCATACTGATTTAGCCATTTTCCAAAACATGAAAGTTTTAGTACTTTGTCTTAGGTTTTCAACGCCTCCAAGAACGCCTTAATCAGACTGTGGTAGCTTGAGATATGGCCATTTGAAGACAGTACGGTTAATTAGCCGATTAGTTGGAATTTGGTTCTGTGAATTGGGAATTTGACTGGGTTACACTAGAAATTAGACTAGGTGGTCTTCACCAAAGTTGTAGCTCTCTACCTTAGCTTCGAAAAGGTATAAATTTTACCCCAATCTGATAAATGTAGCTTCAGTTGTGCTCGTTACGCTAAGAGACATCAAAGTTGCCATTCGCTTATTTGTCTTTGAACTTGATTTCCGATTACCATGTTAGTACTTGCGTTGTAGTTAGGGTATTTTGAGCCTAGTTGAAGGACTATTGTGTTACCATTGCATATGTGTGACTTTGGGACTGATTTGAGGAAAATATTGAAGCCATAAATGGCTGGAAAATAGGTAAACACAAGGGGCATGCCGCCAAATTTTTGCTAGAGGAATTAACCTAGCCTTTGGAGTTCTAGTTCTGTATTTTGCAAATGTGACTTGAATACACTAAAAACTGGGTCGAGGTGTCTTCAAGAAAGTTGTAACCTTTTGTCTAAGCTTTGAGACACTATCTAATACATTTTGATCCGATAACCACAGCTCCAATTATGATCAAAATCGTGTAACCCGTTTTGTACCATTTTTTTTATTATTTTTGACCATTTTCGACCGTTCTCAATCATTTAAGTTATAAACTGCTATTGTATAGCCGTTTCATTTATGTGTGTATATAATCTATCTATACAGACTGTGAGGCTTTTGACGGTGATGGTCAAGCTCAGTGACTTGTATCATTTTTCGTGCTAGCTTTATCATGTGAGTAATTGGGTTGTTTATTGATATGGAATTGTTGAGGTACCTTGTATATGTTAAATGGGTACTTAGGCGAGAGTGTACTTTATCTCACTCGACCTAAGCCCATCCTTTGTTTTGATTTTCTATGTGAGAATACATGCCTTATGTTGAGTATCACCCTCTTGCTGTGTGCTGAGGAGGGTGGTTACGTGACTTGAGTATCACCCTTTTGCTGTGTGCTGATGGGGTGATTACATGACTTGAATTGAACCCCATTTGCTGTGTGCTGTTTGGGGTAAGTACTTTGTTGTGTACTTTGTTGAGAGATACCATCTATTGAGAGATCGGATATCTCAGGGCTTGGTTCCAGCCCGGTTCCAAGGGTTAGACGAACTATTTGAGCCAGCTGGGGTTTGGTCGAAGATAGTTCCATGCTAAACTTGGGATTTAGTTCCTTGTTAAAGCTTTGACGAAATCTAAATTATTTTGTTTTGCTCGAGCTGCTGTGTGCTGTTGACTGGCCAGCGGGGGTTGATAAGGTGAACGGGAAAGTTTAAGTGGAGTCTACAGACCATGAGTACTTTGGTTGACGGAGTGTCAACAGGCGTTCAAGTTCGGGAATTGAACTGGGTTTGGAGCCACCCGTATCCTACCATTGTGATGTTACTTTTCGGTTATTGATATGAATTATCCTGATTTACTTGTTTAATTATGTGAGTTTACATTTTTCCCCTGATTACTCACTAAGCATATAGCTTACCCCATTCTATTTGTTTTCCTTAGTAGGGGGCCGACGCGGGGATCACTCGGGAAGGTGTTTAGTGTTTTGATTATAGATGAGTTGAATTTGTACTTGTTATAAGTTGACTAGCCAGATGTATATAGTTGTCGTGGTGGTTGTAGTTATCAGCTTTTTTAGAGTTTATTTTCTGGTACTCGTGGTATGTATGACTTGATGTTCTGGTTTATGCAACTTTTGAAGATGTAATAGAGTAAATAGAGCTTTCTTTTGGCATGAAATCTATTTTCTAGTTCTAGAGCATCGAGTCCTAGCGAGAGCAGGGCAGGCGACCCGCCGAACCCTTGAGTACGCCCTAGGGGGAGGTGGGGCCGTCACAGGTGGTATCAGAGCCTGCTTCGCGTGGTCTCTGCGCAGAGTGAGATTGGGCCAAGTGGTGAATAAGTACGAAGGATTAAGTGCTCGTTGAACTTAGGCTATGGAGTCATGAATTGTTATTAGGCCTTAAATCTTTCTCGTGACATGTGAGGTCAATAGATAGGTACGTCAGGGAGGAATTTCGATTGTAGATAGTTTGCTCTTGGGACTGGCCAGCTCGAGATATGAATTATCTTATTTTGAATTCTCGTGCCTAAGTACTCCAGAGTTGAGGTGCTGCTAAGTACTTGAGACTTGCATTTTGGAAACATGAATAGGCTTTGTCTGGCTAAAGTGAGTACAAGAGATCAATGGGCACCTTGGGAAGTGGAGTAGGAAACCAGACCGGGTGATTTTCACTGAGTGTGGGACGACAAGTCGTGTTTTCTTTCATTTTGCCCTTACATTGTTCCTACATGTCATTTACTTGTGGTATGTTAATGCCAACATATATAGTACTTACTGCACTTGACTTTGTCTAACTTGAAATGTCCCTTAGTGTATATGGTGCTTTATATTGTGTATATTTTGGCATGACTTGTATATATATGTACACATTTTGATCTTTTGAATATTCCATGCATTTTATCACTTTTCAACACTTTGATCTCGTACCCTATTTGGTTCCAATTATTGAAGCCATAAAACCATCAAATGGAGACTCGTGGTAGAGGACGAGGACGAGGACAAGGAACTGAAGGAGTAACCAATGAAAATGCGAATGCACAAGTCGAAACCTAGGTAGCTACAGCCATACAGCGAATGGCTGATTTATTAGAACAAATGGTCAACCAACAGGGTCAAGGCCAAGTACAGCATCCTGGAAATCATGAGGGAGAGGACCGTGCCTTAGAACGATTTCAGAATTTTCTACCGCCAAAATTCTTGGGTGGACCTAACCCTGATATAGCGGAGAGTTGGTTGGAGCGAATGTTAGACATTTTTGCTGCGTTAGAATACTCAGAGAAACGGCAGATAGCTTTTGCCGTTTTTCAATTTGAGGGAGCGGCTCGTGCCTGGTGGAATGTGATTCGAGCCAAATGGGATAGAAAGCAAACCCCATAGACATGGGTGAATTTCACTCGTGAGTTTAATGAGAAGTACTTACCGCCACTTGTTCAGGAAAGGCGAGAGGATGAGTTCATACGCCTACGTCAAGGGATTATGAGTGTGGCGGAGTACGAGACACAGTTTACCAAACTTTCTCGTTTTGCTCCAGAATTAGTACTGACAGACCAAAGGAAAATTCGTCGATTTGTTCAGGGTTTGAATTTGGAGATTCAGGAAGCACTGGCAGCTGCTCAATTGAAGACTTACAGTCAAGCGATTGAAAAGGCACAAAGAATTGAAAGTACCAAGAGTCAAGTTTCATGATAAGAAAAGAAGGCACCCAGATACAAGTAATTATATGGAGGGACAGAGCTCGGGGAGCGAGCCACCACCTAAGAATGGTCGAGGAATAGGTGGACCACGATCCACTGGGATGCCAAATCAAGGAAATATTGAGAAAAATCAGGTAGGGAGAGAACCCAAAGGGGTATCTCACAAGGAGGTCCGACATCAGGACCTAAAATGGCATGTGGGTATTGTGGGGTTACTAACCACATAGAAGATAATTGTTGGAAGAAAAGACAGGTACGAAAATGCTACCGATGTGGTAGTGCTGAGCATCTTATTGCTCAGTGCCTTCACCTGCCAAAAGAAAGAAATTTGCCAAGGGCAGAAGGGAACACGTCTAAGCTGACTAATGCCACGGGTAATCGACCGAAAGTGCTGGCAAGGACCTATGCAGTAGGAAGCCAAGAGGTGACAGACCCATTGGCAATCACCGAAGGTACCTTCCCTATTTTCCATCGTATTGAGGTTTCCTTCTACTCGTTTTACAAGATACTTAAAGACCAGTGAGACTGTGAGATAAGGATGATACGGTTGGATCTTGGATTGCGATACATAGAGTGACTAATTCTTGAGGTAATTCTTACCACTACTGATGAACTCGAGTATTCCAACCCTTAGCTCGTTGATTGCAATTTCGAGGACGAAATTCTTTGAAGGAGGGGAGATTGTGATACCCAACTTTTAGGATCACCTTTTGTTTAGTCTCAGAAAGGATATTACGGTTTCTTTAGTTTATTTTTATTTTAAAACATTATTTTTATTTTAAAGAAGAAACTAAAGTTATTTTTTTGGTTTGATTTAAAACCTTGTTTTGTTTTAAAAGACTAGAAACCCTAAAAGTCTAATTGAAACCCTAGTTTCATTTGTGATTGACTGTTTTCTCAAATTTCTCATATTTCAACCGAAACTCTAAATTCAATTTGTGGAATTGTAAAACCCTCACGTTTTTCTTAAAAATGCCCTTTTATTTGGAAATTATTAATTTATAATAGCCCTACCACCTAATCATTCCACAATAAGTGCAAATGAACCTAGAAAGTACGGTTTCACTTTTTGTTTTCAAGTTGGAGCAAGTTAGGGTTTTCACGTTTTTTCGTAGTATGATTATTCGGTACGGAGTGAGGATCAAAATTGGTAGGTAAGAGTGACTTTTGGATGAGGAAATATTATATGATTAGAAGTGATAACAATAAGTTAGTGAATTAGAAGTTAAAACCTTAGTTTACGCGATTTAAGGAAAATCCGCTCGAACCGACGGGTATCGATCGTTATCGATTGAGTGCACCACTTGACCACTATTTTATTACCTTAATTCCCTTATTATTAATTAAGAAAAATCAGCCCTAAATATCCTCTCATTCCAGCCGAAATTGTGGACCAAATTAAGAGAGAGAAAAGCAGATTTTGAGATTTCATCTTGAGGCGACAAGTGGCGAACATCCAACAGTTGTTTGACCAAACTAATTCCAACTCTTCTTATCCTTTCTTGAGCTTCATTTCTTCATCATTTTTGCCTTTTCTGGTCATGAGTTTGAGGGAGAAAGAGTGAAGAGAGTTTCTAATTCCAACCTCAAATCAAGAGTTGTGAGTGAAACCAAGCGAAACTAAACCGATTAAAACCTTTCTTGAGTGTTTAGCTAGTGGTGTGTTGGTGAAATTTTGGAAGGAAAAGCTAGGGCTGCTCTTGGTAGTCACTTTAACAAGGTAATAAGGCTGATTTCTCCATTTCTTACTCTTAATCTTGTTTGATTTAGCATAGCACCTTAAATTTGTGGTGGATGATACCTATTATAATGATTTGGACGGATATAGTGTATGTTCTTGAGTTACATGAGTTAGTTTGATGAGTTTCTGCCTATACTTGCTGTATGGATAGTATATGTTGTATCTAAGCTTATATAAGGGGTTTTGGTGGTGATTGAAGTAAGAAATGAAGAAAGTTTCCTTTGAAACCGTAAAATTCCAGATTTCTGGAAATCTTAGCTTCAGTTCTGTCCGGTTCTATTTCATCATGTTTGAGGCCAAACTAGGCTTATCACAAAACAAAAAATTGTAGAGAATGATATTTTATGGTTGCCTACAAAATTTCAGCCCAATCGGAGCAATGTAGCCTGTGAAACGACCAAAATACCCTTACTGCCCTAGGATGCATCCAATGATCCGTTTTAGACAGTTCATCCAATTGACCGTGTCTATTCACTTTGATTCATACTGATTTAGCCATTTTCCAAAACATGAAAGTTTTAGTACTTTGTCTTAGATTTTCAACGCCTCCAAGAACGCCTTAAACGGACTGTGGTAGCTTGAGATATGGCCATTTGAAGACAGTACGGTTAATTAGCCGATTAGTTGGAATTTGGTTCTGTGAATTGGGAATTTGACTGGGTTACACTAGAAATTAGACTAGGTAGTCTTCACCAAAGTTGTAGCTCTCTGCCTTAGCTTCGAAACGGTATAAATTTTACCCCAATCTGATAAATGTAGCTTCAGTTGTGCTCGTTACACTAAGAGACATCAAAGCTGCCATTCGCTTATTTGTCTTTGAACTTGATTTCCGATTACCATGTTAGTACTTGCGTTGTAGTTGGGGTATTCTGAGCCTAGTTGAAGGGCTATTGTGTGACCATTGCATATGTGTGACTTTGGGACTGGTTTGAGGAAAATATTGAAGTCATAAATGGCTGAAAAATAGGTAAACACAAGGGGCATGCCGCCAAATTTTTGCTAGAGGAATTAACCTAGCCTTTGGAGTTCTAGTTCTGTATTTTGCAAATGTGACTTGAATACACTAAAAACTGGGTCGAGGTGTTTTCAAGAAAGTTGTAACCTTTTGTCTAAGCTTCGAGACACTATCTAATACATTTTGATCTGATAACCACAGCTCCAATTATGATCAAAATCGTGTAACCCGTTTTGTACCCTTTTTTTTTATTATTTTTGACAGTTTTCGACCGTTCTCAATCGTTTAAGTTATAAACTGCTATTGTATAGCTATTTCACTTATGTGTGTATATAATCTGTCTATACAGACTGTGAGGCTTTTGACGGTGATGGTCAAACTCAGTGACTTGTATCGTTTTTCATGCCAAACTTTATCATGTGAGTAATTGGGTTGTTTATTGATATGGAATTGTTGAGGTACCTTGTATATGTTAAATGGGTACTTAGGCGAGAGTGTACTTTATCTCACTCGACCTAAACCCATCCTTTGTTTTGATTTTCTATGTGAGAATACATGCCTTATGTTGAGTATCACCCTCTTGCTGTGTGCTGAGGAGGGTGGTTACATGACTTGAGTATCACCCTTTTGCTGTGTGCTGATGAAGTGATTACATGACTTGAATTGAACCCCATTTGCTGTGTGCTGTTTGAGGTAAGTACATTGTTGTGTACTTTGTTGAGAGATACCATCTATTGAGAGATCGGATATCTCAGGGCTTGGTTCCAGCCTAGTTCCAAGGGTTAGACGAACTATTCGAGCCAGTTGGGGCTTGGTCGAAGATAGTTCCATGCTAAACTTGGGATTTAGTTCCTTGTTAAAGCTTTGACGAAAGCTAAATTATTTTGTTTTGCTCGAGCTGCTGTGTGCTGTTGACTGGCCAGCAGGGGTTGATAAGGTGAACGGGAAAGTTTAAGTGGAGTCTACGGATCATGAGTACTTTGGTTGACGGAGTGTCAACGGGGGTTCAAGTTCGGGGAATTGAACTGGCTTTGGAGCCACTCGTATCCTACCATTGTGATGTTACTTTTCGGTTATTGATATGAATTATCCTGATTTACTTGTTTAATTATGTAAGTTTACATTTTTCCTCCTGATTACTCACTAAGCATATAGTTTACCCCATTCTATTTGTTTTCCTTAGCAGGGGCCGACGCGGGGATCGCTCGGGAAGGTGTTTAATGTTTTGATTATAGATGAGTTGAATTTGTACTTGTCATAAGTTGACTAGCCAGATGTATATAGTTGTCGTGGTGGTTGTAGTTATCAGCTTTTCTAGGGTTTATTTTCTGGTACTCGTGGTATGTATGACTTGATGTTCTGGTTTATGCAACTTTTGAAGATGTAATAGAGTAAATAGAGCTTTCTTTTGGCATGAACTCTATTTTCTAGTTCTAGAACATCGAGTCTTGGCGAGAGCTGGGTAGGCGACTCGCCGAACCCTGGGGTACGCCCTAGGGGAGGTGGGTGTGACGCCCCGAAAAGTATAAGTGTTAGAACCCGTACTTTTCTCATTTTCTAGGGTTTTATTTATTTAATGGCTTGTTTTCTGCGTTTTCTTTAGTAGGGAAATTTTCTAGATATTTTTAAGGAGCAGATACAGTTTTTGGATGATTTTTCTAGTATCAAATAGGTTTTGAGAAATTAAGAGTGTATACCGGATGTGGGACCCACCAGGGCGAAAAGTTCGGAAAAATTCGGCCAGTAAGGTTAAGTTTCGGATACTGGTTGAAATTTATCGGGTATTAAGAGATAAATAGAGGTTGTGATGTGATTGATGTGAGAGGAAAAAAGAAGGATAGGAATGCATTAATGAAATGACATGTGTCACCTTAAGAGTGGTTGTAACTTATTTGACTTTTTGACCTTTCTTACCAATTGATTAAATATCTCAAAATTTACCAAAACTTCACTCTTTCTTTCACCTTTGTGGCCGGCCCTCTCTAGTCAAGAAGAAAGAAAAACTCTCCAAGATTCTTGCTTCCATTTTGCTTGAGTGTAACCATCCAACCATTTGATCTTGTTTCTACTCCATAAAACCTTTCCATTTGGTGCTAGTAAGTGGTTTGGTGAAGTGTTTTGGGAAGCTAAGGTGTCCAACAACTCTCCCTCTCTTGTTTACTAGGTGAGTGGTGATTGAACTTCCTCCTACACTTAATGAAGCTTAAGTTGTGCTTAGTGGTAGCTAAAGTGCTGAAATTTGTGGTTTATTTCTTGGTTTGAGATGAATTGGTGAAGTTTTCAATTTATTGATGAA